ATATTTCTTTTATATCTATGCATTATATCAACACTTATATTTTTAAATGTATTAATAATGGATTATGTATTTAATTTATTATGAGAAACTATAAAATATAATAAATCAAATTTTATATAATGCAAAGAGAATAAACTTTTTTTTAAAAAAAAAATATAAATAGAATAATCTAGTAATTCTCCTTATCTTAACCCGATTAAAAATATATGATCAATTATGGAAAATAAATTGAAAAATTTAAATGCTAAAATATGCAAAAATACTTCTCAAAATTAAATTAAAAAGAACATAATCAGTTGAAAATCATAAGGCGATATTTGCAATTATTCTATAAAACAATAATAATTTGTTATGTTATTTATATTTCTATTTAAAAACTCAATCTTCATATTATAAAATATTATTCAAATCTCTATATTTATCTTTTATATATTATAGACCACCGCTTATACAGATATATTAAATTATAGAATACATATTATACTATTTATTTTGTTCTGATTAATTAAATAATAAATATTAAAATACATTTGAATTTACATATTCTGTATTAGTTGATTTTTTTTTCTGTATAATATTTTTTTTTAAATTAATCAATGAATAAAAAGACTATTAATAGATTTTTAAATTTAACTTATTTTTCTTGTATTATAAAATTACATTAAGATATTTACTATTATGGTAGTTTTTAAATCAAAAAATGCTAATCAATAAATTTTTTTATTTTTTGTTGATTACCTTTTTTAAAAAATACAGAAAAAATAATAATAAAATATAATAGTTAATCATCTTTCATTATATTTTAATACATTACTCAAATTCCACAAAATATTCATTAACTTGTAATAAAGAATCAATATTATCTATTAAAATAAATTTATTATTTAATTTCTAAAAATATCATTAATATCAAAATTTATTATTTAATTTAAATTATGAAAAAAAGTTACATTTTGCTAATTGATTTACATACTTTTTAGAATTTATCAATTATGAAAAATAATGTGAATAAATTATTGCTTATTCATGCCTTTTTTATTTATTTTGCTATTTTGTAAAAAACTAAACTAAAAAAAAAGATTGTTTATCTTTTTATTTTTTATAATTAATTTTAAATAAATATTTAAAAAAAATAAATAAAGAAATAATATATAAATATAAATATATTTATAAAATTAAAAAAAAGCATATTTATAATTTATTAATAATATATTTTGTAAATCTAATTTATCAAGCTATTTTATAATGATTATAATATTATAAAGTTTATATTTTAAGTATTCTTTATAATTAGCTTATAACTTATTTTTTTCATAAAAATATATTGTATAAATATTATTATAATTATATATAATTCTAGATTTAATAAATAAATAAATATATATATATATATATATATATATTATTATAAATATATATATATATATATATATATTTATTTTTTATGCTCTAGTATACATCTTTTTGTAACTTATTTAGTCATATAACGTAACATTAACCAATTAAGCACTTTTTTCTATATGCTACATAAAATTAAGTAACTTATCACGTTTTTGGGATGACACAAGAATTCAGGATGATTTTTCCCAAAAACACTACTTACTTTTTTGTGTTTTTTTTTTAATAAATTATTTGTAAAAATAATAAAATATTATCAAAATATTTCATTATAATTTGAAATAATATTATTTCATATTTACTTTATTATTAGACTTTTTCATTAATTTATTTTTCTTTACTACATCTTTTATAATAATAATTGAAATCTAAAAATTTTTTTTATCTAAAATTATGAAAATTATAAAAAAAAAGCATTTATGTTTATAATAAATTTTATATAATATAATAGATACAAATAATTGTACAATCTAATTTAGAAAATATAAAAATAATGAAATTTAAAAATTTAAAGTTTATTAATATTTAAAATAATTAATAAATCTTATTTTTTTGTATTTAATATTTATACTAATTTATTTTTTTATTTTAATATACAATTATTTATATTTTACTTAAAAATGAAAGTACTTAATAAAATAATTTTCTTTTACACATAAAATAATTTAAACTATAAATGTATAAAAGTAACTTCTTTATTTAAACAAGAATTAATTTAAAATTAAATTAAAACGAAAATCATTATAAAAAATTAAAAATTTAATTACATTGAAATTACAAAAAATATAATAATTAATAATATATATAATTAAAATAAAAATAAATATTTTTTTGGGAATGTTATTTTTATAACTAAAATTTTAAAAGAATCTTATATCATAATTTAAATTTAGTATTTAAATAAATATTTAGCTACATTGAATAAGATATCTAAATAATTTTTTTATATTATCAATTATGAATATTTTTTTTATTTTTTTTATATTTGCTTTTATACTAATAAAATTAATTATAATTTTATATTTTTACGCTAAGTTCTATTCCATATTTTTTATTTCCTGAGCAACTTAATCATTTTTGTTGTTGTTTTTTTTATTAATTTTATTTTCCGATTATTTTTTTAATAAATAAGTTATTTTTTTGTAGTTTAAAGTACTCAAGTATAAGTAAAAACTCCAAATAAAAGTGTTTTATTGAAAAAATTTGCAAACATGTGTTGTGATTTGATTTACAAAATATTTTTTGCGAAAAATGATTTTTCAGAAATTTTAAAATTGAGTTCAAAATTAGATTCTATATGGACTAATTTAGATTTATTTATCTTCTGAAAATATTTATTAATAATTGAGGTTGTGGGCATTTTTCCTAATCAATTTAATAATACAGTTGAAAGAATCATATGAAGTAACATAAAATGGCTAAATAGATTTAAAAAGGAAAGTTTTGAAGATAAACATGATATTTTATCATTAAGTTATTTTAGTTGATATAAATTAACATGGACTATCTTATATAATAGCTGCTACAGCTAAAAACTTGTTTTTCCTTTGCATAAAGCTTAAGCGGAATTTATTTAGCTCGAAAATAAAGTAAATTTGTGTATTAAAGAAAATAGTTTTGATAAATTAACATGATGTGAATTTTATTTTTGAAGATTTGACTAATATGGTAAAAATGGAAGTGGTAACAATTTTTTTTTTTTGTAAGAAAGAACTTTTGATTTATATTTGTGTAAAAAAAAAGGTAGTTGTGTAATTAATATAATATTCAGAAAATAATTGTATTGTTGATAAAAGAATTACAGAAAGACTTTAATTCGAAACAAATGAATTTTTTAAATAATTAAAATTTAATAAATAAATTCTTGCAACTAACTATAAAGCTTGTGGTTGTAGATATGAGATAGGATATTTTTTTTTGCTTTTAATTTAACAAAACTTGTAATAAAAAGGATAGGTATTGGCTGAAAAGTATACTAAATGGTCTAAATTTAGAATTTTCGTATTATGAAGTAATTTTAAGTTAAAGTAAGTGGAACTGTTTGCGATTTTGATGACGATTGAAAAATATTTATTTATATTCTATATTATTAAGAAGATAAAGTTGAAATAAGGACTTTTTATAATTTTGTTTTTATATTTTTTTTATAATTTTTTAAATAAATAATTATTTTATTTGTTTTTTATAAATGATTATATTTTCTTAGTAATATAATATTTTAAAATTATATAGTAAAAAAACTAAAAATATTTAGTAGTTTTAATGAAAAATTAAGAATTAGTAAATGAAAACTTAACAAGTGAATAAAAAATTAAAAATAGCATATTTTTTAATAAAAACAAGTATAATACCAGCAAGAATTAATAAGGTCAGAAATAAAATAAAAATTTTAAATTTAATTTTTTTAATAAGTTTAAATGAAAATTAATTATAATAAAATGATTCAGAAAATAACAATAAAGAATAAAAAAATTATAATTAAAATATTTAAAATACAATAATAATAAACTTATAAAGTATATTTATAAAAATTACTATATTTTTTTATATAAAAAAGATAATTGTTATTAATAATAATAATATAAAACTATATCAATATTGTAATTGATTGAAGAAACAAATGTTGAATAATAACATTTATAAAAACAATAAAGTTAAGAAATATAAAAATTAAATGAAATATTAATTTAAAAAACTGAAAAAAATTAGCAAATGGAAAAACAATATAATAAAGAATTTAATTTAGATGATAATATTTATCCTTAAAATGGAAATTATAATAATATTGAACCTTGCTCAGTTTAATAAACAAAAGCAAATAGATTTTAATAAAATAATATTGAAAAACCTAATAATATTTAATAAATAACTTATTCACCAAAATAATAATTCTCCAACATTTCTTAGACTTTTTTGAAATAGAATAATATTCCGAATTCTAAGAATAATAAAAAAGACTAAAAATAAAATTAGAAAATAATACTTTTAGATAAAAATAATTAATAGACTTTAGAAACATTAGAAAAAAAATAAAAAAATCAGTTTTAAAGCTAAAATTCTACACCAAAAAATTAAAAAATATAAAATAGTATAAACTTTAAGTAAAATAAAATTTTATATATTTTTAAAAAAAGAAATTAATTGTTTAAAAAATAACTCTTTGAAAAAGTTTAATAGTCCTAATTAACAATATAAAAATAAATTTTCTTTTGATAGAAATTTTATTTAAAAAAGAATAAGTATTCCAAATTTAACATTATAAAAATCTATTACTGGAAAACTTTCTTAAAGTCCTCAGAATAATAAAATAAACTCATTATAATTTAAATAGTAGAAAATTTAATAGAATCAAATAAATCAATCTAAAAATGTATTTAATTGCGTATTAGATTCAAAATATTAATTGATTTATCAAAAGTTTGTAGAAATGAATAAAGAAACTAATAATAATAATAAATATTTATTTAAAATATGAATAAAATTAAAAGTTATATGATTAAAATAAAAATGTTATTTTGTTTTTAGTTTAAAAAATATATTTTTATTCATAATTTTTTTAATTTATATTTTTTAAGTTATATATTTTTAAATTTTTTAAAAAATGACTGAATCATAAATAACTAAAAAAACATTTAAAAAAGAACTTCATAAATAATTATTTTTTTTCATAAATCCAATAAATACCTTTTTAGGGCATTCTTTAGTAGAATGTTTAAGAAACGATCATTAAAATGATATAAATCCCCATATGTTTACAGGAGCTTTATCAGAAAAAGAAAGCAATTAAGTGCCAAGAGGCGTTTGGAAAACAATTAATGTATTATTAAATTTCACAATGATTTTTTTAATAAATAAAATAAAAAGAACAAAGTAATTTAAAACCTGATAAAAGTATTATTGGATGTTGACATTATAATTTATGATTTAAATAATTGCGATTTAGATGAAGCTTAATTAGTTATTTAAAGTAGAATGCTTTAAATATATTAAATTATAAAAATCTTTTATAATATATATTTTATTTTTATTAGCTTTAAAAATGGGTGAATTTAAAGAATAGAAAACATTGATATTTATTTCTTCTGTGGTTACATGGTCAAAAACATCTATAAAAGAGAAAATTTTAGTAAATTCTTATATATAAGTATTTAAAAAAATTAAAAAAAAAGAAAGAAAATTAGTTGGCAGAATTAAAAACATAAGAAAGTGATATTGAATTAGGAAGTTAAATAGAAGAAGATGAATAATTAAGCAAAGTTAATTTTATTTATAATTATAAATAAATATATTATGTAAACTATAAAAAATAGAAAATATATACAAAATACAATGAAAATGAATATTTATAAAGAAAATCTCATCCTAAATATGAAAGAATGAAATAATTGGAAACTTTATGTTTATCTATAAACAATTTGAAACCAAATTTAAGATCTTATGTAATTTGCTCTGGTATTTAATATGGAAATGGAGAAGATGTATTTTATGAATTATTTAAAGTAAGATAAAAATAATAATAAAAAAATAAAAATTAAAAAAAATTAAAAAAAAAGGAAGCTTGGCTTTAAAATACGTAAGAATTAACAGTCTATGGAAACGGAAAAAACAGAATTCCAACAATTCATATAAAAGATTTAGCAAATTTTGTTTCCAAAACAATCGAAATAACTCCTAATTAGAATTATATTTTGGCTTTGGACAAAAGCAAAAGTACTTAATTATCTATAGTAGAAGCTATTAGTCGAAAAATAGGTACTGGAAAGGTTAGACATATAGATTTAGCTAGTGCTTGTTTGGATAAAGATAATTTTTTTGTTTTAAATTTAGATTTAAGACTTAAAGGTTCAAAACTTTTTGACTTTTAAGAAATTTAGGATGATGAACAAGGAGTTGAAAATATTTAATAATACTAATAATAGTTTATTTGGCATTGTAGAAATGGAATTGAAGATAATATGGAAACTCTTAATAAAGAATTTAATTAATATAGAGGATTAAAGTCAAATAAAATAGTAATTTTTGGACCTCCATGCAGTGGAAAAACTTTTATTGGAAAAAAGTGAATTTTTTATTTATTTTTTATTTTATTTTGATTTTTTTAGATTGGCATAATAATATAATATTCCTTACATATAAATACAAGAATTAATCGAATAAATATAAAATTAAGATAATCTTGATTTGGGTGTAAAAGTAAAGAATTATTTAATTTAAAAAAGAGAAGAGTTAACCCGAATTGCTTTAACTTAATTTGAAGCTGATAAAAAGAAAAAAAGAATTAAAAAAGGTTTCTTTTATTTAAAAAAAATATTTAATTTTTATTTTTGAAAAAAAATTAAAAAAAATAGGCGATCCAGAACCGGTTTTTGATCCTTAAACAATAGACGTAAGATTAAATGAAGAGCTTCTTTTTGAAGTATATAAATATAGACTAAGTTAAGTTGATTGTATTAATAAAGGATATGTATTAGATGCGTTTCCGAAAACAAATATTTAGGCATAAAATATATTTCAAAATAAATAATAATAGCATGAAGAATTATTATATCCTTTATGTTAGTTACCTGATTCATTTATTATTTTGGAAGCTAATGATGAATTTTTAAAAGAAAAAGCGAAAAGTTTATCTTAGGAAGTTATTAAAAATACTCATTGGAATGATGAAGGAATGAATAGAAGACTAAGAGTTTATAAACAAATTATAGATAACGAAAATCTAAGCATAGTTAGTTTTTTTTAAGAAAATTAAGTGGATGTTTTGAAAATTAATATTTAAAATAATGAAAATATTTTTTAAAATATTTAGTAATTTATTGAAAGAGTTTTTTTATTTTTATTTTTATTTTTATTTTTTTATAATTTTTTTATAAAAGAATGGAAGTTTTAATTCTTTTGGATTAGATAAAAAATAATCTTAAAGCAGTTTAAAAAATAATAGATTATCAATTTAAGAAGAATATTTGTAAAAAAAATCGATTTTGGAAGAAAAAATCAAACTTTAAAAGGAAGAAGAAATTCAAAAAAACCTTCAAAAAGAAACCTTTCTTAAAATCGAAAAATTAAAAAATTAAGAAAGAGAAAGATTAGCAGAGAGATCTTAGGCTTTAAGGTATTTTATTTCTTTTTCTTCTAAATTTCATTAATTAAATTAAAATAAATAAAAGGTAATATTTAGCTGATAATATTGTGCCTTATTTAACTGAAGGGTTAATTTAAGTTTGCCAAACAAATCCTGATAATCCGATTGAAGCTTTAGTAAAAGAAAAAAAAAAATATCTAATTTATTTATTTAAACTTAAAGGCAAACTATTTATACAAAACAAGCTAAGAAATTTCGGATAAAATAATAATAAATTGAAAAAAAAAAAAATATTAATAGTTTTTGTTAAAATATACATATATTTTATTTATATTTTTTAAAAAAATGTTTATCTTATATCTAATAGTATTTTTATAAATATTACTACCAAATACCAAAACATAAGAAATAATATTGACAAAAAATCCAAAAAAAGAAGTAAAAGTATCATTTGGGTCATGCAATAAATTAACAGAAGATGAATAGTCAAAAATCTTTGAAAAAATTCACGAACTAGATTCAGATGTTTATATATGGTTGGGCGATGCTGCATATATTGACAATCGTTATTTCTTTCATCTTTGGCAACCTGAAAAGGATGTTTAAATTATGTAAAAAAAATTTAATTAATCAAAACAAGATAAATATTACTAAAAATTACTTTATGGCTAAAATAAACCTTAAAAAATAATCGGAGTTTGGGATGACCATGACTTTAATAATAATAACGGAGGATTAGATTTTTAAGGAAAAAAAATAATTTAATAACTTTATTTAGACTTTATTGATGAGCCATAAGATTCTCCGAGAAGAAAAAGTAATTTAGGGATACACACTTCATATTATTTAGGGGATGATAAAAGAATAAAAATAATATTATTAGGTTACAAAAATAAATAAATATAGATATTTTAATAATATAAAAAAAGATGTTAGGTATCAAAGAACGCCAGAAGATATTTTAGGTGAAGCCTAATGGAATTGGTTAAATGAATAATTAAAAGATTAAGAAGCTCTTTTATATTTAATAGGAAGTGGATCGTAAGTAATTCCTGATGATAAACCTTTCCAAGAAAGATGGGACGAGAAAAGTAAAAGAAGAATTTTGTAAATAATAAAAGAAAATTAGGCAGCAGTAATATTTTTAAGTGGGGATGTCTATTTAGGAGAAATTATATAAATGCCATGTAGTGAATAATATTTAGGTTATAAATTAAGGGAAATTACTAGTAGTGGTCTATCCTTTTCTATTGTGGATTTGACAAATTTATTTCCGTTTTTTGAATAAATTGCACACGTATTTTTACCAAATGGATTTTCAAATGAAAGATATTTGTTTAAAAATTTTGGATTTATTCATGTTACTTGGAATGAAGAATAGTTGGAAAACTCTGTTATTCGATTATAAATTTATGGAGAATAAAATAATATGAAGCCGGTTATTTAAGAAGTTTTCGATTTAAAGGAAATACAAGTTAATCAAAATTTAATAAAGGACTAAATTTAATGTCCTTTTTATTCAAAAAATGGGACATAAAGACTTTTTGAACACTTTTTAAATAAAATTTTTATGTTTGATATGGTTGCTATTGGCATTTTTTTGTATCTTGCTATAATTTTTAGGTTTATAATGAAAAGTATTTTTAAGGTTATTAGTATTTTATTTCCTTAAAGGAAACTTAAAACTAATTGATATATAAATAATATTATTAAATAAATTATTTGAAATTCTTTCATATATATATATTTTTGATAAATAATAAATTAGAAAATAAATTTGTAATTTTTTTATTTTTAATCAACTCTTTTCTTTTTTATAGTATAAAAAGTAAAGAAAACTCATGCTATTGAATAATGTCTACTTTCTTCATTAAAATAAAATCCATTGAAACTTATTTTTTCAATTATATTAATATTTTTTTATTATATTTTTTACTTTGTTTATTAATTTTATATATAATTTAATTATTAATCTTAATCACAATATTTCGGCTTTTTGTGTTAAATTAATTGATTATTCACTCTTAAAGTATAAGTAAAAATATAATAAAAATAAAATTTTACGCATATAAATCAATATTAGAAGCCATATCATTAAATTAGTTTTTTTGATTGTTTATCTATTAGTAGCTTCTTTTATTTCTTTTTTTTGAATCAGAATTACTGTTTAAATAGTTTTGTTAATTTTTTTAGTTTTATAGTTTCTTATATTTTAGGAAATTATAAATAAAAATTATTTTAAATATTTTTTTTAGGAATAAGAAATATCATACTTCAAGCCTTTATATTTTTTGTAAAAGCACTTCTTTCTATGTAGAAAACTCTTAAAGCTTTTTTTTATTATTAAATGTTTTTTTATATAATACAGATATTATTTTTTTAAGAATAAAAGACCTAGAATTAAAGCAAAATATTGGCAAGGTACAATTTATAAGATTCATTATAATAATTTAAATTGTCTTCTATTTTTATTTTAAAATTTATTTTATTTTATTTAAATATAATATTTTTTATTTTTTTAAAAAAACAACCTTAAGGAATTTCCTATATTTTGATTTCGTTTTCAGACATTTTTATTAAAAATATAAAGCTTTATTTCTAAAAATTTTAGATACTTAATTTTTGTTTTTATAATAAAAATATTATTATCTTAATTTATTATTTTATTAAATTTTTTATTTTTTTATATATTTCAAGTTCTGATGTATTTTTATTTAATTTTTTTTAAAAAACTTAATCTACAAAAAAGAAAGGCGAGAAAAAACAGATATAGATACTTGTATTTTATTTTTGATTGAGTTTTTTAAAAAATAAAAAAAGATAAGAACTTGTAATAAATAAAAATTTATTTTTAAAATAAATTTAATATGTAATAATTATTTTAATTTTTTAAATTTATATCAATTATTATTTTAATATTTTTATTTTCTAATTTCCTTTTAAAAAAAAATCAAATAAAATACTATAAATATTTTCAAAATATTTAGTTCATAATATTATTATAAATTTTTATTAATGTTAAAATCTGATGCTTTTATAATAAATTGTTATTTATTTTTAAGTTAATAACATTTTTTTAAGTTTTTTTTTTTTTTTTTCTAAGGTGAACAATTTTAATCATATAATACAAAATTATTTTTATATAAATTAAAATTATTAAAAATAAATATTTATTTGAAAATTAAATATTATTTAATAAAAAAATAAAAATCATATTGCATAATTTATGTAATAATTATTTTGAAGTGTTTTGGTAAAATATTCAATTTTATATCAAAATTAATATAATAATTAATCAAATATAAAAATATTTTTATTATATATCTAAATAAGATAAAATTAACATATCTTAGAAATAATAAAAATAATATTATGTTAATTATTATCTATAAAAAGTAAATATAATCTTAAGAAATTTGAAATAGCAAAAATAAATTATATATCACTTAAAAATTAGAAAATAAAAAATGGGACAATAATTATCTAAATTAAACGATGTAAAGAAATAAAAAAATTAATAAAATAATAAAATAAATAAAAAAGGCAAACTTCTAATAAGCAAAAAATATAATAGAAAATCCTTTGAACAAAGAGAAAATAATAATGCTAAAAATAAATAATAGCAACCAATAATACAGTCTAATCATAAATGAATTATAATAACTAATAATTGAGAAAAACTAAAATATAAACAATATAATGTTATTTTCTACAGTGAAATAAGTAAACAATAACGAAATACACATAGAAATTCCTGAAATACAATTAAAAATATTTTTGTAAACATAAGAAAGTCGAATATTAAGAAACGAAGCTTTATTAAATAGAGACTTCACAAATTAAAACTTAATATCTTAATCCTCAATATCAGATATTCATACTATATTAGACTGCAGTAACTATGAAAATAATAAAAACATAAACTTAAATTAGTTATAATCTATAAACATTAATTTTTAGCAAAATGCAAATAATAGCGTAGGGCTTCAAAAATTGCCTAAATCAAATATGTAAATTTATAAAAATCCTTATAAAAATTAAGACTAATAATAATAATTAAACATTTCTGAAAATAATAGTAATAAAAATCAAAGTTATTAATAAAAAATAATTCTTAATCCATTTTAATAAAATTAAAATCAATAAAACTATAATGAAAGTATATTTATCATAAATTAATAAGATGAAGAAAATTTAAATAATACTTCTTTTCTTTAAAAATATTTTCCCTAATAAATGTAAAAGAATACATTAGAAGATTAATATAAAAAGGAAAAAAAATTAAGTGAAGAGGATTTTTAAAATAAAGACAAAATAAATAATTAAGATAAAAAAAATGTAACTAAAATCGTCACTAATAATTATAACTTTTTTGGAACTTCTGATGAATTATATAATCTTTAAAAAGAACTTCTTCTTTAATAAAATAAAAGTGTAATTATTAATAACTAATCAATTTTAAATAATAAATCTTAAGAAATTGTTAATAAAGATTAATTTTAATAAAGTTAAATTATTAAATAGTAAAATTCTCAATAGCATTAATTATTATAAAATAGCCTTATGCTTTAAAGAGATTTACTTTTTGAATAAATAAAAAAAATTAATAGAGTCTTAATTAATATAGCAATGTGACAAATTTAAAAATAGATCCTTAAACATGCAATAGGTAAAGAAATTCATAAAATTAGAAATAAAAATAATATATCTAAATTGATGAACTATAAAAAAGTGTAAATGAAAATTCTTCTTATAATATAAATTAATAATAGTTTGAAGATTAAGATTATTATAATAGCTAAAAAAATGAAAATTATATGAATTTAAATATAAATAATTAAAATTATGATTAAAAAAAAAAAATGAATGAGAATAGTATAAATTTAGAAATAGAAAAAAAAAATGATTTATAATAATAATAATAATAATAATAATAATAATAATAATAATAATAATAATAATAGTATTTTGAATATTTAGAATAATAGTAATAATAATTAAATTAAAAATTATAACAATAATTATTATAATTATAATAATCATAATAATATTAGAATCTTTAAAGTAATATTAATTATGAATAATTAGACAATTCTTTATAAAATTCATTATTAACATCGATTTAAAATGAAATTCCTTTTTAAGAAAATTTAATTAATAATATAAAACAATAAAA